AAAAATAGAAATTCTCAGAAGAAGACCCAATTGTGGAGTGCAGGCACTATGTGTAACAAATGGTTGTTACAGAAGGTTACAGTTATAAAAAGGTTGTATATGTAAGTCCTTTAGACTAGAGCAGCATCAACATCCTTATACCTTCTAATATAGGCAGTACCAACATCCTTGCACCCAATTTGTAGGCTATTTGCTTGGAAGGATAATCAACAGATTGTACAAATAAGTCTTAATTAGGATTCAAAAAAAAGATTTGATTGGAAAAGTATTCTGAAAATAACTAAGACTAAAATGGTAAGAGAAGTAGTGAACACAAGGATGGGCTGTAATAAAGGATTGGTCTAACCAAAAATTGAAAGCACCTCTGGCACAGCTGAATAATCTAATTATAAAAAAGAAAACCTTGTAAGTTGGCATATAACTTCCTTGTGCAATATAAAAATACCAAATCAGATTTCTGTTTATATCTATATGGAAGTTTATAATAAACAAGACTGGCATCAACCAACCAATGTGAGATAAGATCTGCAAGGTAGTATGGCATTACTGGGGTCAGTGTAACTTCCTGGGACATAACCAGAATTGTCCAGCAAATATTATCGAATAAGCTGAAAGCTTGCAATATATAGTAGTATGCTATTACTAGGGTTAAAAAAACTTTCTAGAATTGTCCTATTGTAAGTACAAGTCTTATTCCTCACTATAGAAGGAAGCACTATGTTGGAGGTTAAATGCAACATCAAGTTACTATATGACATTAAGATCTGGTGCATCTGCAGAAACAGCGTTAGCAGATCTGGCTTAAAATACAGATTAATTAAAAGATCAATAGTAACAGCAGATTTGGCTTGAGATATGGATTCATTGCAGATTCTGGACCATTGTCAAAATACTTTAGAGGAATTAATAACAGGTATACCAAAGATGAAAAAATCATAAAAATCAAACCTACCCAAGTAAAACTAATTTGGAAGTAGTATTGTAACAAAAAAAAAATAAAAAATATACTAGATATAGTTAGGTTAAGAGGAAGAAGAAACAAGACCAGATAAAACATATGAGTGATAAATATAGGTATAATTTATAGAAGACAGTACTTTGGCATTTGGGATATCATATTAAGTTCAGTAGATATCCTTGCTGTGTAACAGTTTAATAGTATGCTCTAACTACAAGTAGTTATTAAAATAACTGTATGTAGGCATGTGTCAGACATGCACTTAGGTGCTATAAGAGTAACCAGGTAAAGTTAGTAATGTAAAATTAGATAGTATATAGTATTAGTAATAATCGATCCTAAAAATATAATTTTAAATTTGTACTATATCAAATTAAAGCTAATAAACCAACTGGCATTATCATCAAAATTCTATATAATAATTAAGTAGTTGAAATTTAGTTGTTAATAATGTAATAGTATTGTAATTTGTATTAAAGTTTTCAAATATAATAGAATATAAATTTGAAAAATTGCTTGTTGTACTTATATAATAATAATATTTTTATGAGTTTGTATTTTTTTTTATTTAATATTAATGATGAGACTATGTTTTTATTTTTATTGAATATTTAATTAAGATTTTACATAAAGTACAATTCTACTTTTAAAATATTATAAAAAAAATAGAAGCTCTGACTAATTTATCTATATTCTAAACCAACCAAAATAGCTAAGACTTATCTAGATTTGAGTATTAGTAATTATGTATAGAAGATTAGTTTGATATTTAATCTATTAAATATACTAAGAGTTTATTTTTGAACTAATAGAATTGAGTAGAAGAGAGTATGATAAAAATGAAGCAGTATTTGAAGGTGTGTTATATTCAGAAGGTTGGGTTATAGATCTTGAGATACAATATGAGATCCAAATTTTGTGATAAATTTATTGATTAAGTTAAAATAAGAACTTGATTATAAGTATTGTAACTATTTTTTTAAATGACAAAATTACAATAAAGTTAATAAGTTCATTTGGTATTAGACCAGTTAGAGTTGAAAAAATTAAAAGTAAGTCTGATATATTGTGAATAGTTATATTATTCAACAATTTGATTTGATTGTGCAGATTGGTTATAGTATTTGATATAGTATGAAGTATTTTAGTATTTAAAGTATATTGTAATAAAATGTTAATAAGACTATATAATAGTTAATTGGATGAGCAAGTTATTTAGTGAAGGTGAGAACTGATTTGGTGACAATGATGTTAAATAGATAAGTATAAGTGATATTGTTTATGTAGAATGTGTGAAGTGAAAAGATTATTTAGTAAAATTTTAATTCTGAAGAATTTAAAAGTAGAGAACTGAAAACTGTATGAAAAGTTTAAGATTTTTTGATTGTTTTTGATATATAATCAGGTAGTTTGTCAATTAACTTGGTTAATTATGAGTTTGTACTTAGTAGTATTAGTTAATAAAAGGTATATTAAAATAATTCTAAATTTGTAGTTATGTTTAAAGAATAAGTCTATAATAATAGCATTATCAGATTGTGTAAATATATTATATATTTGAATTTAATATTGTTTCTAATCATTATACATATTTTTTTTTTAAATTTTGTAAAATTAAATTAAAAGTATGAGTATTAAGATATGTTTCAAAATATAATTTTTATGTTTTTAGTAATTTGTTTTAATAAAACTAATTATATATAAATTATAAGTTAGATAGTAATTTTTCTATAGTAATTTTTTTTTTGTATATTATATTCATAAACATCATATATTAAGATGTTAAGTTTAAGTAAATCATTATTAAAAAAAGAGTTAAAAAAGAATTTTATAGGTAGTTAGTAGTATTTATAATATTAATGATAAATAAATAAAATATAATTAAAAAATATATTAATATTGTAATTAGTATAAATGTGAATTTTTATATAAGAAAAATTAATTGATATTTTAATTAATTTAGTAAAGTTATAATTTTGAAGATATTAAATAAATATATATAGTGTTTGTAAATAAAAAAAATAATATATTATGCTTATATAGAAATAAATTATAATAATTATTAAAATTAAAAGATTTTAAAGATTTTAAAGATTTTGTAATTAATTCTAATCTATATATTGAGTTTAATTATTATTTTCTTGGTTTTCTGTAAAATAGGCTTTTTTGTTTATCTATTATATTATTATTTTTATCAAATATTACAGTTATTTTTTTTAATAAAATAACAGTTATATTTATAAGATTTGTAGAAAATAAAATTGGTCTTTTTCTCTTTTTTTTAAAAAAATGATTCTTTTATAAATGTAAAAATTTTGAATTTAATATTAAATTTAATGTAAAAGATTGTTTTTATTATAAAAAAAGTTTTTTTTTATAGAATTTAATAATTTCAAAGTAGTTGAATAAGTTAATATATATATAGTCAAAATGTGTAATTACTTATGCAAGAAAGTTAGTATTAATAAGTTTAGTAATAAGAAAATTAATTGTTTGTTATTTATCTATTTTATTTATATTATAATTTTAAATGATAGTATTTTAATAAATAATTAGATATTGATAAAAATAGAAGTTATATCATTTTGGATTAGTTTTATTAACATTATCAGAACAAGTATAATCTTCTGCTTTTGTTTTTAGTTTATCAAGAATAGTTATAGAAATTTGTTTTAAAATATTGCTTTATATTTGTCTTTAATATAAAAAATAGATAGATTAAGATAAGATTTATTTTATGATTTATTGTTTTTTTTGGAATATTTTTAATGTTAATAAAATGACTGCTATAAAGTATAACTTTTTTTTAAAAAAAATAAGTTGTAAATTTTGAAAATTAATAAAATTTTCCAAATAATTAATATAAATTAAGATTACTTTATTCATATTAGCAATAGAATTAAAAAATCAATTAGCTTTTAAAGATAAAATAAAATTTGATAATTTTTTTATTTATTTTATGTTATAAAAAAAATAATAAAAATAAATTAATCATATAATATTACTACTAAATATTAATTAATACTACTTAAATAATATATATTTAAAGTTAGCAGTTTAATGGTTAGCCCTAACTGCAAGTGTTGGCCTCGGTCATAGCATATATACATGTAACTATTTTAAATTATTAATAAAGATATAAGCAAGGCCTCACCTTAATACCAAAAAAAAAAAAATAATATATATTTAAAATATACAAAATTTATTCATAACAGTTTGTTATTGTTTAGAGTTTTTTATTTTAACAATAATTTAAAATTTAAAGTATTTTGTATAAAAAAACATTATATATATACTAAATTAGTTATTGTTAATTTTATTTGAAACATTACATCATTATTTAAGAACTCTAATTAATATATAATACTATATATTATATTAGTAATAGTTAGTAATAGTTATTATTATTATTAAATTTTAAGTAACTTAATATATAACAATTTAATATTATTGTAAAACTTTAAAGTATACAATTTTTTTATTTCAATAAATTTTTTAAAAAAATAGAATAGTTAATAAAACTTTTACTATATAATTTTATATGTAAAACTCTTTTTCAAATAAGTAATCTTAATTTAATTCAGATTTTCTATATTATTTAGATAACCACTTCTTTAGATAACAAATAAAAATAATAAATAAAACTCAAACTAAACCAGAAGAAAAACCTGTAAATGAAAACTTAAATTGTTAGTAGTACATACATATATATACTGTACATACTGGGTTTCTAAACATGATATTACATAATTTATTATGAACATAATTATCGCTATTTTCGAATTAGTCTAATAAGCAAATTTTGTAAATTTCACAAATCCTGCATTCTACTATTAGTTTAACAATGGTAATATGCAAGATTTTTAGGATTCACAAAATTTACTTATTGCACTAATTCGAAAATAATATTTTAATCTTGTAAATTTTTCAATACTGTACTTATATCATTTTCTTTAAATTTTAAAGTCTTATATTTGTTTATAAAATACCTTCTTAATAAAATAACAGTTTCTTATGAAATAAATTGGGTATAAAACTGAATATGAGTGCTGTTGAGGTAAAACTTATCGAATTTTTTTCTCATGAATTTTAATCAACAAAGTATGATTGTTCTATCAATTGCATATTATTAGTCTGATATGCTATAAACTTAAAAAGTTGAACGCAGGCTTAAGTCTAAAGATTTTCTTCAATTATTCTTTTATTCTGTACTTCCTTAATTCTTCAATTCATTCACAATGATATTTTATTAACAATAGTACAAATGTCTTATGAATTACATATTTGAAGTGATGAATTCATCGTAATTATTTTCTTCCTAACTATTTTCCTCCTAACAATGACAATTACTGCAATCTGGAGATCGTTTAAAGCCAGGTAGTTTTTTGAATTGATTACTAATCGATTTGTAAATTAAAAACTACGTGATACGCATAAAATACTACAAGGTTGTAGACGATCTCTTTATCCATAAATAAAGGTCACGTATGTATAAAAATTAATATAATGCATGAATATTAGTACATATATAAATAAACAAAATTGAGAAATTTTCTCAGTTAATTTTTTAACAATACTTAACGTTAACCATAGTGGTTGAAAACTTTTATGCACAGTTGGTTACATAAGAATAGTTACACAATTGACATCATCCTAAGCTCAGATTTTTTGAATGCCAGTTTTTTAACGAAACTTACGTGCTGTCGTAATTTCTCACGTAATCTTAAAAACTCAAAGTATTACCAAGCTGCGTAATATTTTTCGAAAGTAATTAGTCCCGATTTTTTTTTCCTTTAAATTCTAGAGTCGCACAAATCCCCACAGTTTGGATGCATCAGTATTGTACGTACGTTCGTACGTACATAAGATATATTGCTAATATAAACAAAAGACATAAATAGGAAATTTTGTTGTGTACATTTGTTGTAGATACAGATATATATGAATGAACGTTTCAATTATGCATAGTTGGCTTTAAAAATCTTTTCACCCTCATCGGATCCAGACTTTCCTTCTTTCAACTTCCCTTTATTACCTTCTCCCGAATAAAAATATGATTCAATACATTTATTCAAAAAATTATTTGGAAAATGGAATCATTTTCCACTCAGATTTAACAAACGAAATCAAACGAAATTCGAATGATCCGATGTTATTTATTCATTTCATTTTGGCTACCTTAAATTTCGTATCTTGTATCGAAATTCTTTGGCAAATGTGTTTTTTAAAATATATAAAAAACAAAATTTTAGGATTGGACATGAAATTTTGTTTATATCTTACTATAACTCGTATGTAACTTTGAGAAAAAAAATAATGAATGTTGTAATGTCTTAAAAGTAATAATATATTTTATTCAATAGATTTACTTTATTCCTTGACTCAAATGTCCAACTTAGTATGATCACTTATTTTCTTCGTTATTTAATATGTTTTTCCCTCAACGTTACATATTAATTCAGGACCTTTTTACAAAATCTTTTAAAGTTTCTTGTCAGAGCAGAAGCAATTACCAAACCATCAATATTATGTGATGTTGGAGGAAAACTCTCTCCAACGATTTTAACAATGAATTTATTAGTCATTGTTATCTTTGCATTTGATACTATTGGAAAAAATGTTCTAAAAACTGAATCCCAGAATTTTATATTATGGTGCACGATCTTTGTGATTTCGTGGATTGCATCTACTTTTGGATTGAATCGATATGGCCTTTTAGAATTGTGGTAAGTTTATATAATCTTGCAATCTGAACATTAACGGTTAATACAGTATCTGTTTATAATTTATTCTTTTAAAATCAGGTGTGCTAGAAGAATATACACACCACTCATCGATTATATAAATGTTGGCGTTATAATGATAAGCATCATAAGTGTGATTTCACTATGTTTTCGATTGGTGAATGCGAAACTACGCGATCCTATTAAATCGAATGCGATAAAATTTATTTATTGTCTAATTTTTGTTTACATTTTTCAATGGGTAAACTTTTATCAATACATCTTCATTATACTTTATTATAATAGTAAATTATTCATATTACTTTGTTTTTTCCTACTAGTTATGTTTCCTTCTTAGTAATCTTTTGACCATTTTCAAATTGGAGAATAATTCTGCTGTGAGTTAACTTTCTAATTTTTTGAAATTTTTATATTTTTTAAAAATATTAATTAATTATTGTTACTAATATATACTATGTATTTTTTAGTCATATCAAACCTTTTTATCAGCACTTTTGCTTATAGGTAAACCTAATCATAAAATTTGATATAAAATGATCTTTACTGACACAATTTTAACAATTATTACATGCGAATTTCAGGTGCACATAGTGGAGGAATATTAAACTCTATATTGCTTTTAATAAAACAACACTGTGACATGGATCTCGATGATGAAATTAGCAACATTGAAAAGAATTGCGACCTTGTTACTTTTGACAAAAGCGTGGTTAATTATCCCAATAACAATAACATTGAAAATGAAACCGAAAAGAACGGTGATATTAATTCCACTAAATTGATTCTTACTTCAATGAAATCATACGGGACCATGCATGGCTAAGATAATGCTCATATAATTTATTATTTATTAGAAATTTGTTGATATGATATATTAATGTAGATAGATTAAATGTACTCATCATATCTCTCATGCTGCCAATACATTTTGTACACAGAGTAATCAAAAATAAATTTATTTAACATACAGTCGGTTAAAAAAATTGCTTAGAATATATTATGTTTGTGGTTTTTATAGAATTTACTGATAATTAATGCTGATTATCAATGTTGTTACTAGCCTTAAATTTAATAATTTTGTTTAGCCTATCACCAAGTCCGTTATTCGACAATTTATTTCGAATATGTCCAAATAACAATAACTATAAATCAACTAATCGTTGAGAAAACGGCTATCAACAAAAAAAGTTATCTGAATTTTGTTTGTCACACAGATGATCGTGATGGTGAAATTTAGATCTATTTTGTATACGTATGTAGAGCTTCGTATTTGTTATTTGAATAATATTCGAATAAATAATTATCAGACAAATAATTCGAATAACAAATCTTATTCGAATAAGAAAATTATTCACTTCAGCATTGGCTGCTTTACACATAGTAACTACATATGATTAACTGCTTCATATCTAATAACTATATATTATTCGAATAAATAGTACTTATTCAAACAATATTAGTCATTTAGCAAATATTCGAATAAATATTTGTCGATCTAAGTTATTCGAATATTATTCGAATAAGAAATCCGTAAGCTCTATACGTACGTACGTACGTCCGTACATACGGTTTGAGGCCTTTTTTTATAGTTAAGTTAGGATTTAGGGTTAGAGTTATTAATAAGAATATAGATGGATTTTGGTAGGGCTTATATTTTCAAATTGAGACCTCCCAAATTTTACTATGTAAATTTTCGTTATTAAATCAAATTAAAAATTTGACAATGTGTGTTTAAAAAAGAAACATGCAAAAATTTATGCTGAGGAAATTAAACTCTTTATTTTATACTTCATTGGTCACTTCACTAATAACCCATTTGCCTGGTGGTTTTACGTTAATCATTGATAAAATACCTGCTTAAAAAGTTTTTGCATTAGACCGATCCATCATAAATTATTACAAAAGAAAAATACTTATTTTAAATATAAATTTCATTTTTTTATTGCACCAAATTCCGAATTATTATATTTTAATTCAGATTTTACCGTAGATGAAAAGTAATGTTACAATCTATACGATACATTTTTTTAAAATTTTATAAGTCTTTATTTTAAATGAAAAAAATTATCCACCCAATTTTACAAATATTTTAAGTATTTTCTAAAAAGAAATATAAACAAGAAATACAAACTTTAAATCCCAAATTCTATTCAATATAATATGACAAAGAATTGTAATAAACAAAAATGAGAATAATAACAAAAAAGTATGTAAAGTTACATAGTGCTATTTTGAATCGTTCTTGACTTATAACCAGTGACTATTTGCTACTTAATTCATATGAACAATCATATATAATAAAATAAGATAGGTGGTCAAAGCGATACTACCAGTAAAAACTACATACCCACCAGCAGTCTTAAATGGTTTAGATTTATCTAAAATGTCTACATTATGTCGTCGTCTAAGTGCAGAGATGCCTAAAAGTGCACCTCCAAATAATGCAAATACTATGCCTATGTAGTAAAATGCCGGTTCAAATAAACGAAGAATTAATAAGGCAAAACTAAATGCGGAGATACATGTTCGCATGTATGCTCCTTCGAACGTTCTTTGGCGGGCTATTAAATATAAGGTAGTGCGTTTAGTGGATAAAAATAATAGAAGATTGAGAGAAATAAATTGTTTTATCACATACCTCTATTTAATATGTCAGAAGGTAGAAAAAAGGTGAATACGAGAAATGAAAAAATCGATTCAATCATTCCAAAAAAAAAAAAAAAACAAAAAAAAGTATATATAAATATATATATCTTTTTTACCTTATCTCAACTAATTCTTTTTCATTCAAAGAAACGCTCCCAGCTTTATAATCTCTAAGACGTTCATTCAACATTTATCGTTTTTTCGCCTTTTTGTTTTATACTTTTTTCGTTTGATGGTTTTTAATTTTATGTTTTTTCGTTTACATATAAAAATTTAAAAATTTCACTGTCGAAATTCTAAAGTATTTAATAAAAAGTTTTAAGTTATGTTTGTATCGTATCATTAAGTAACGGTAAGCCTTTTATTGTACAAATCTCGTGTAACAATAGGCTAGCTTACTTAAGGCAATTTGACCAATTTAAAGGGTAATACAAACCCTAACAACAACAGAGGAAACGTCGATGTTACACGACTGAACCTTCACCCGGTGTGCAACATATAAAAAAATTATTTCCCAATACCAGATCATTCCGCTAGTACATGTTATAATTATGATCCAACACCATTTTATTATAATAAAAATGGTGTTGGATTATAATCATAACATGTACTAGCGGAATGATCTGGTATTGGGAAATAATTTTTTTATATGTTGCACACCAGGTAAGTGTTGGAAATCTGTTTTGAAATTTATGTTCTCATGAGAACACAATTATTTAATTTAATGTTCTCAATGACAAAAATTTCTGTTGCCATTTTTTTAAAAAATTTTCGAATAATATCGGTAATTTTTGTCCCAAACTTGCTCGTCTTTTATGTTCGTTCATTTTCTTTCCAGAATTTACTCGTTTTTCTAATTGTTAACTTCATTCAGTACTATACTAGAGAACATATTTATCAAGTAATACGTCTCAAAGTTTTTTTTTATAGAGAACATGTTTAAAGTAACAAATGTTCTCAAATCCAAAAGCATGTTCTCTTGATAACATGAGAACATCAGATTTCCTACACTGCATCGGGTAAAGGATCAGTCGTGTAACATCGACGTTTCCTCCTGTTAGAAATTTAGGATTAGCGTTAGAACATTAGCGTTAGCGTTAGATTCTCATCATCATTTGCATTCATTGATTGGTTAATCCTTTCAGGAGTTTGTATTACTCAAAAAGTAAATACATACGTTGTAGTACTACATTATAAAGCAGCGCCAATCTCTAACGATAAGATCGAAATCTCTTAACAAATAATTTTCTTGTGCTTAAAAAATGTAATTGAAAAAAAAACCATTAATAACATTAATTTATCAAACAAAAACTAGTAAAATCATTAATGCTCACTATTTTCTGTCTTGGTTACTGTTACGAATATGAGATTGGTGTTGAAAAGAAATAAAGAATTCGTCCATTATTGAAAATCTGCAAACATGAATAAATTCCGACGAAATGTATCAAATTGAAAATTAATATTCGACAGGGTGAAATCCACTACGTAGATTACATGAGGGTGAAATTCGCTTTTGCATAATAAAAACATAGTTAAATGCAGATTTCATCCTAACGTAGCTGATTTTACTAATTTACAGTGTGGGTTTCACCTATTTCTATTATTATACGGCAGGGTGAACCCTGAGTTGCGAAATAGTGAAATCCGTTATGATCATCACATGAGGGTGAAATCCGCTTTTATATAATAAAAAACATAAACGCGGATTTCACCTGATCTACAAAGTGGATAAGAATAAACTATTTATCTGTATCGGGAAATTTTAAAATCAGATTGTGATCGATTAAAACCTAATTATTTTTGCAGAGGAAGGTAAAAAAAAAACCCCTGTTATCGATTATAATCGATGCAAATATCTTAATATAGATTATAATTGATTATTTTTAGTTGATTAACAATCAATGTTAATGATTATTGATTTTTTTATTGATTGACAAACAATGTTGATTATTATTGATTGTTTTAATTAGTAGCAATCATCCTTGCAATTGGCAATCGATATTCAGCTCACAGGTTGTGACCCGTGGATTGACCTGCAGGCTAATCCATGTCTCTACTCCCAATACTCAATTCACCCATGGATAACCCAGCTTGTAACCGCCTTGGTCCAATCTCCAATTTTACTACTAAATATATCTATTACTCTATATTGTTTTTTAATATATACTTAAATAGAATACAGTACCAAACAATAAGAAATATCTATTTTTTTATATATAAAATATAAAAAATATTTATAACTCAGAAACAAATCATTTTTAAAAATCTATCATATAGATTTGTTGTTTTTAGTCTAAGTTATAATTCTTTTTTTATAATATAAAATTAAATATTGCTAAAATGCAAATAACATTAAATAAAATTTCATGATTCATCTTTTTTAAAATCTCAAATTTTTCTAAAGATATAAAATTTTTTTTACTAAATATACCTCCCTTCTACCTCTAATAAAAGTTGTAAAGAAATATCGATTATAATGGTATTTAAATCATTAAAATCAGTCTAATAGATCACATTTTTTGTCTTCATAACTATATATTTACCTCTTTGTTTATACATACAATGAAGTAAACATATAGTAGTAAAGCAAAACGTTCATCAAACATTGTATATGAAATCGCAATCAGCATGGATTGACCACTATTTCTGTACTTTGCGATTTCTAGACTAATTTTTATGGTTAATGTTAGATATGTTTACAAAAAGTTTTTTTTTTTTTGATGAGTACATAATAAATTATGAATGATATAATGTTTGTCGTTGTTATCATTATGGTATTGGAGTTTCAATTTACATGTGTAAAGCCTTTGAATACTATCAAAAATCTTCCGAAATGGGTCATGACGAAGGAACATTCATGATTGGCCATTATCATCATTATGGTATTGGAGTCTCAAAAGATGGAAACAAAGCATATAAATATTATAAAAAATCAACCAATAAGGATAATATGGATAATATTGCCAAAATATCAAATGTTGTTCGATGCTATCGAAATGGAATTGGTGTAGATAGAGATTTACAAAAAGCAAACTACCTGTATTAATGGTAAAATAAAGATATTTTTGAGATATTAATTTAGGCTTGGAATTGGGTTAGGATTTGGCCGGCAAGTATAATTATCTTATATTGCCTCGGAAATTTTGTTGCGTAAATCCGAGTATACGCAAAAATCAGCATAAGTAAGTTAGTTACTCGGGTAATTGATTTACACCAGCCAATCATACGAAAGTCTTTTCACGTCCTGATTTGATTGGTTGACCAAATGGGTGCGTTATAATGCATATTATATAGCGATAGCCCTTTATTTTTGTAAATGACAGTGTTGGCAATTGGTCAATTGGATATCATTGGTTGGTCCAATTGTTAACGTTCATTTATCCAATTTATCCTCTAATACTATTGATTAATTTGATTGTCCAATTGTCAACATAGAGATATCCCACGTGTAAGAAACTAATACTATCTTCACATAAGTAAACCACATGTCATATCTCGCACGAAATAAGCTTAAAGAAAATTCTTAGCAATCATTGCATTATGATGCGTAACATTTTAAAAGCTAAATTCCTTTTTTTTTTTACAATGCAGTACTAACAATTATTGCATTAATTAAAAACAAAAAATTAAAGTTATTATTAAAAACCTTAATACGCTGAACTCTAAATTTCATTCTCTATAAAGTCATCTCACATGATATGAAATAATATATACTAGGGTTATCCTGCGACGGTCGTTTTCCTGTTAATATATATCGGTGTTTAAAAAGGTCGGTAGTCGATCTTAAAGCAATTAATTCAGTAATCTAAATACCAATATAAAATAAGTAATAAATTTAATTATAAATGCTGTAGTTTTAATACAATACTCACCAATAGGAACTTCAACAGAATCGATAGGTTTACTTGATAAAGTTGCTAATATAACATAATTAGTTTTATGTAATAAACAAAATAGCATCTTTAAAATACTGTAAATACCTTCAATTGCACTCGATATCTTGTGTGTATTAATAATTTTGTTAATATACATAGAGTCTGGATGCTTTGGTAAGATAACTTGCAACTCTATAACTATTTTATCTGCATCTGAGAATTGCTTTTTAATTTCATTTTCACAAACCAAACTTTCTATACTTTCATTCCATTCTTTAAGTTTTTTCCAAACTTCATAGGCAGAAGGTCGTTTTTGCAGATCAGGATCCGTGCAATGTTTAGCAAATTCAATATAGCAATTGGGTGTCCCAGGTGCAAACGCAGGTGTCAATCCATTGAGAATAATTTTAATTGCAAGATCTTCATCAAATTTGTAACCGTCAAATGGTCTTTGTCCAGTTGAAATCTCTGACATTATAACTCCTAAGCCGTAAATGTCTGCAGCCTTTGTGAACTTTTGACCTAATAAAATCTCGGGGCGACATAAGGAATCGCACCATAAATATAATCTGGTTCATTATCATTAAACTTTCTAGAAACTCCCATATCTGAGATGAAAGAACGTATAATATTGTTATTGCCTCCATCTTGCAAAATATTTCCACTATGAAAGTCTGCATGAATGTATCCTGCATTATGAATTTTATCTAAATCCCATGAAATATATTTAAGTAGTTTTAATTTAGTCTGTCAGGTAAGTTCTTGAAAATTTTTTCTTAAAAACTTATGAAGACTTCCATCATTAGCAAATTGAAATACCATCAAGTATACATTTGTTGTTGTATTTTGAGTTAATCCATATATCTTAAGTTTATTATCCCATAAGCCGCATTTATGAGACTGTCAAACTTATGAATTTATATAAATGAACAGTTCAATACACGCTTCATTGGGGTAGTCAATCATCCAATTAAATCAAACATATGTCTAGTCCCATATAAATTTGTAATAGTGCGGATTTTTTTTATGTATGTATATATTATTATACATAAAAAATAAAAATAATGGTAATAATACATACATTTTTTTATTTAATTAATTAATGAATTATTTAGTAAACTATATTCAGAGCAATACGGCAAATATAATAGATATATGAATTATTTAGTAAACTATATTCAGAGCAATACTGCAAATATAATAAATATGTAAACTAAATTCAAAGTAATATCTCAAATATAATAAATATGTAACTATATTCAAAGCAATACTACATGCAAACTAATTCAAAGTGATATCACAAATATAATAAATATGTAACTATATTCAAAGCAATACTACATGCAAACTAATTCAAAGCAAGACTGCAATACAATAATTATTAAAATTTAAATTTAATCCTATTTACTAAATATATGTTTGAAGAGCTGCTTAGCTTGAATATGATCTGATTGATTTTGTATTTCTGAAAAAATATTTTTTGACTTTTTTCTTTCAAAGTGAATTTCTTCAAGTCCAGCTTTTAAATTTTCCTTATCAAGCTTTGTTGTAGTTAAGCATAGCTTTGATTCTCAAAGGTCCATTGTTATATTAGGATGTGTTTTTAAATCTAATTTATTAAACAATCCTTCGAGCTGTTGTTGATGAATTTTAATACTATAAACTTTGGTTTTGATGAATTCATAAATATGAGGATAATAATGTAATAAAGAATTTATTGATATGCAGAATTTCTCAAACTCATATTGAAAGTAGTTATCTTCTAATAATAATCTAGACAGTTCTAAATTACTTGTATTAGAATTAATAATGTCATCTTCTAATTCTTTTGCAAATTTGATTTCATTTTCATTTGGCATATTTATCCATAGTTATTTTAAAACAACATAATGAAAACTTCAGTCAAATGACTGACCAGAATCATTTTCTAATTGACAAATAGATAGTAGTAAATGATGCCAAGATATTATCCACTTTGTAAAATGATCAAATGCTTTTTGCATTCCATTTTCAAGTTCATTAAAAATTTCTTCAAATTGTTTTGTACTTAAAAGATCAATAGCCTTTAATAGTTCATTGATAAAAAAAAGTTCAAAGTTTTTTTTAATACTATTTAAATAACTATTTTATTTGATTATCTATCAGGCATTTCATATACCTGAAAACTATTTGGAAGTTACTTAAAATTGTTTTTATATAAAATTCTTGGTTTAGTATCTTGACTAACCATGCATTATATTAATGACTCATAAAAACATATTTGAATCATACTAAGCACTTTGTTTAAATAATTAATTTTGGATTTTGTATTCATTGTAAGAAAAGACACCATTTTGAAAATATGTTTGAAGTAACTTATGAAGTTTTTCTAACTGTAATATAAACCAATTAACAAACTTCAAATAGGATGAACAATATTCCAAATATTATTTAAGAATTAGTAGTTTATAATCCAATATTCACAAATTGGTTGTTGATATTGAGTAAAGTGCAAATCTAAGTAACTTTTATATAGTTCTTTAATTTTTTTTCAGTTATATTCAAAGCTTTATCATTATCATTCATATTGTAACTGTTATGTAATTCTTATATAAAATAAACTAAATTATATAGATATATAAATTTTATAAAACCAATTATTAAAGAAAGTTTTCCAAATGCAGCTTGCTCAAAATTATTAAATAAAATGTACATAATATATAATTCACATTCAATTCTTATTAATTTGGAATTTGTTTATGTGTTAAAAAGAACAGTTATACTATTATTATTGCCAAACATGTAAACAGTGTTATTTGACAACTACACAATATATTTGTTAGGATTAATTTGAGAACTTTTTATTATAGCTTAAACTGTTTCTAATACAGACTTTTTATTATATTTATCAATATCCTGAAGATGTGTCATTGTAGCTAAAGATTTATTATGAGTAAAGCTTCAAAACATAAAACTCATTATAAAGTTTTTAATTTCATCATATTTGGATTCATCAACTATGATATTATAACTAATAGTATTTCATATTTCATTAAAAAAAGAGTTAGTAAATAATTTGGAAATATCTTTATGTTATAAAGATAATGTTTTATATAAAAACCAAGTTTTAGATGATTTCTCAATTAAAAATTCATAGATTAATTTTGTATACTCTGTAGCTAAACATATAGATATTTGTCTAATTTATGTTATTTGTATAGTTAACCAAATTAAATCTGTTGAATATTACTATTTATTTTCTTTAAATAATAATTTAATATGTTATTTAAATTTTTTAGAAGAAAGAAATACAGATTTTTGAACATATTAATGAATTTAAGAAACTTGATGCATGTTTTTGTCTTATAAATGTCAAGTTATTGATCCTATTGATTGTGTTTTATGAATTAATTGCATATTTTGATTTTTTAGTTTTTGAACTTTATAATACAATTTTTTATTAGTTTCTTCTAATGATTTAAATATAGTTGATTTATAAAGAGACTCCTAAATAAATTGTAATGATTTGTCTTATAAATATAGTGATAATATTTGTTCTTCTTGTATACTTTTTGAATATCACATTACACTAATCAAATGATTTGTTGAAGACACCTCTTTTTATAATAATTCTTGAATTGTAGAAATTAATTCATTTTATTTTTGTCTTCTTTTAATAAAGACTTATTATAATATAATTTTTTAATCATTTCACAGGTTGAGTTTAGTTGTTGATCATTTATTTTAGAAAAATATTGCTTATAAATTCTAGATTTATATCTACTTTCAAGACTTTTTTGTGTAGCTTTTTTAGAATGTAATTAATGCTTACTTAGTCTACCCATATTGTAATTATTATAAATCACTACTAGATTAGTAAGTGTAAGACAAAAAAATTATATCACATTAAATAAAAAAGAGTAAATATTTTTTATTATTTGTTTTTTGATTATATATTACAATAAATTATTATTAACTTCTATTTATTACATTATTTTTTATGCATATTATTAATTAACTAATTCATTTAACTATGCAGTTCTATTTAATTAATTTATTCAACTATGCAATTCTGTTTAATTAATTTATTCTTTTCCAGTACATAATAAATATTACTTATTTTTCTTTTAATATACTATCCAAATGCATACTAATTATTTCCTTAATTATTTAAATTATGATTAGTCACATCATTGTTATTGTTAAAGCTATTATTATTACTATCAAGTTAATCATCATTATGTAGGTTAAATCTATTACACTTTTCTAAAAAATTTAAATGATTATTTAGTCTTAACTACATGATAAATTAATATCAGAATTGGTAAAAAGAAGTTTTTACTCTTCTTTTATAAAGTTATGTTAAAATATTTACACTTTATATACAGTTTTGCTAATTTATATAATATACATTTTTAAAAAATTAATTAAATTTTATATATATTAATCTGAAATATATTTTTTAATAGAAAATTTTATTATTATATGTATAATCTGAAAACATAACTTTGCTAAAAATGTAATAGAAAATAAAATATGTTAAGATTAAAAAAAAAAATTTATTATTAAGCATTAAATATTCAAAAACATTTTACTAATCTTTTAATATAAAGTCTGTTGCATAATTTTTTGATCAAAAAATCTATTATTATACAAAAATTAATAAAACTAGACATATGTTTGATTCTATTAGATGATCGACCATCCCAGCATTTTGGGTATCAAGATTTTTCAATATCTATATAATTTAAAATTAGGCTACTCATATAGATAGGTCAATAATAGCATAGTGGGTTTTATTATAATTAGCTAATTTTTGATCTTATTATAATAATAAGTCTTATTAAAGTAATGATTTTTTGCTACAAGATTGAATTCTATAAATACAAATTTCTAGAATATAAAATAAAGAAAATTAGAAACTTCACATTTTATTTTATTAACTATCAAAGTAATTCAGAAGTTATATGAAAAACACATTTTGGAATTTTTGATATTATTTCTATTTTGTTATGTGCATCTTAATCTTTTTTATTTTTATTTTTTTTTATAAGTTCAAAGCTGTGAATTATTTTTAGATCTATTTTGTACTAGATCTTTCTGTATAAAACTAATTTGTTGTCTAAAATATATTTAAGGTTCAATGCATTGTTTAGAAGTTCAAGAAATTACATATGGTAAACTCTTTCCATAACAAACTGACGATTTCAGAAGACAAAAAAAGTTTTATAAAAAATTATGTTCTTTTAAAGACCCATAGCTCTTTTTGTATCAAATTATTATAAAATTTTAAATTTTTTGAGTTCATTATATCTGGATTTTGTATATAGAGGTTTGTTATATCTAGAAAATAATTGGCATGACAAAAGTATTTAATTTATTTAAGTTTGTTAAATAATTATTATTTAATGAATTAATGATTTAATTAAACAATAATATAAATACTTAAATATTTTTATTTATTTTAATTTGTTGAAGAGTGTTGATTTATAGATATTTATTAGGTTTAGAAATTTTATAGTTGGAGTATATTGATTCTAATTTTTATGATAGTAATATTTTACAAGTAGAGTTATCCAAAAATTATGTTGAAACATTCTTTGTACTAGTGGATAGTTATGTTTAAAATATTTATGGTGTTAGTAATATTAATTACTGTAGACAAAGTTCTTGTATTAAATAAAGTTCCATTTAATAAATAATAAGATTTGTGAACTGGTCAGTATTTTGAGCATGATTTTGTATATTGATGTATATGATCATGTTTATTTTTTTCTTACATATATTAATTTTATAATATCTAATATTAAATTCTTATTTCATTGTTTTTTTTTAATCTACTTCAGTTTTATTAGCCAATCAAGTTTTACGAAAATTACAAAAATTAACCAATCGTAGTGAAAGCCCGCTATGCTATGCATAACTAGTAGGTGACTAGTGATGGGAAAAAAGCGCATTTTAAAATAACATGCGCACGAAATGTTTCATGCGCATGATATCGCATGATAAAAAAAAAGGCAAAAAAAAGAAAAAACGATCGAGAGGAGAGAAATCTTGATGGGATAAAATGCGCATGAAACGGAATCATGCGCATGTTTCCGCAATCATGCGCACGCATGAAACCCATCTCTATAGGTGACAATGTACTTATAAAGTGTAAATTACTGTGATTGCAATGTAGTATGGACTCTGAAAATTCCGAAAATCACAGAATAATTAGTATTATTAGGCCATCCCAATTTAATTCGGCGGTTTACATTACATCTCCACTTCAAAAGGAGGGTTCAAGGGGTTCACATGGTAAAGTTTTCGAGATTTTTTCCGAAATGTTCCGTTCAATATAAAACTTTTCCGAACTAACACGTAATACTTATGTTATTTACTAAATTTTTTTTTTACTATAATGGAGGGGAGGTGGGGTAATGTAACCCACTGAATTAAATCGGGGTGGCCTTAGGATCGTCACAATTCTTAAAATAAGATAGCTGCGCAACGGAAAACGTGAGTATCGGTATTGCATTTAGTAAATATACTATTGGAAAAGTGATGTATGGTGGCGCAGAACTCAAAGTACAAAAAAAATTTTTAGGATCATATATAAAGTGATATAATCAGAAAGATTCAAAGCAAACGTTCGTTTTGTCAAAAGTTGTTTATTTTGACAAAATTTACCCAATAAAAAAATTTACCAACCGATTCACCACCTTGTTAATTCTAACTTAAATACGAATGTTAGTCTTTATAGAAATGAGTTTTAAAGAATTTTGCATTACTTGAATGTGTGTTGGGTTCGTGGTGCAGAAAAAATTCTTTAAAGCTTGTTTATGTTAGGGTTAAGGTCAGGTTTAGGAATTAGAGAGGAGTAGTTTATATAACAAAATTGCCCAACGAAACCTTTTTTTAGAGCACTAAAGGTGGTTTCTTCTGCTGATTTTTGAGAACTAAGTAATTTTTGACAAAATGAAGGTTTGTTTTGAATTTTCTTGATTAAGTTCTACCTGATCTTGAAATCTGAATCGTAGTTCAGGAAATCTTTGCCATAACACATATTCAAGACGTGCAAGAATTTGTTTATGCAACAAACCTGACACACATTTCAGACTTAAAATATCACTTTGTTTCTTATAGGTTACTCGGCACGCCATTTTAAAGAAATTTGCGTGTCACTTGTTATCTACTGTTCATTCATTATTATTTATTATATACGTATTGCTTTGTTATGATATAGATAGCCGCTTGTACAAATATACCTTTTTATAAAATATGATTGGTCGATGCTTTGAAATGGTAAAGTTGCAAATTCAAGTATACTGGAGTTACGATATATTTATTCAAACTGTACGTAATATTTTATCAATATTGTTAACTTTATTTAAATTCTGGTCATGGATTTCAAGAACTCAGATTGCAGTACTCTGAATAAATGATTACAGTACGAAATAAACAATGAGAATAATATTATCGTCACATATTTAATACGCATAGAGAAGCCTCATATGTAAATAAGGTCATACACTCCGTTCCTGATACAAACATAGTATAGATGAAGTCACAGGATAGACTATCCAATCAGATACAAGAAAAGTACATCATTTCACTCGCCTGTAAACCATACTCGACGTACTTCGTACTCCGTTCCTGGTAAGGGTATAAACCAATTTAGTCGACAAATTTGGCCCGATTTAGTTAGGGTTGGCCTGCTTTATAGTTAGTGGTGACCAGAGATTGTCAGTGAAATGGCTGTCTGCAAAATGGTTGTCAGTAAAATTCTACAAGATCCTATCAAAGGTAATATATCGACATGTAATACATACGTACAGAAAATTTATAACGAAAATTCAAATGCACATGCAGTTTTAATTATACGTACATGGGAGTAAGTGATTATAATTGTTATCGTAACCAATTACCGATAGTGCGACAACCTATATATTTACTTAATGCAATACCTGGTTTTGCGTGACAACGTCACGCAGCTATCTTATTTTATTTGATAATTGCATATTATATGCTAAATAGATACGCGTGTATAAATTAGTGATGAAAAAACCTGTAAGTAAATATTTGACCCCTCAAAATATTGCATATGATTCATGTAAAAAAGAAACATTAATATCATCCACTTCGTTCTTGGTACATATGTACGTACGTACTAGTATCACGAATATCTTGTATAAAATGAATCGCGTTTCATAAATAAAAAACGGATCCAATTCTTTTAAATTTAATCGCTAGTCTAATTATGAATACATATTCATCCATAAATAGTCATTTATTTGTTTTTATCATTTTTTTTTTTGTAACTATCAATGCGCGACATCATCCTCATCCTCAACCTCACCTTCAACCTACCAAAGCATCTATCCAAACATGTGTTGTAAAAAAATCTGGTCCAACATTCACACAAACCATAGACTGCTTAACCCAGTTGCCCGCGTCATTGCTTTGTCCCGATCCTACACAAGATCCATCCGAGTGTAGTAAATGTGCATAAACCACAACTATTACAACTTGCATACCTACTACTGAAGTTTGCGGTCCTCAAACTACTACTTTATGTGTTATTGAATCATTCGGCCCAACCTTCACTCAAACAATAGACTGCTTGACTGATACAACCACATCATTGCTTTGTTCTGCTCCCACACACTTCCCATCCGATTGTAGTAATTATGATACCACAACTATTTTCACTTGCACACCTACCACTTTAGTTTGCTCTCCTACTGAGAATTAACCAATCAAATTAAATTATTTCATAAAGCATACGAAATTTTATACTATCCTTTCATTAATTATCCTTATAAATTATTTCTGAGTAGAAATACCCTTTTTAATCGTCAATGTTCACAGTCTTACATGATAACCTTAATTTTCATCCAATTACAACCATTGCATTACTACCGTTTCTATATTGTTAATTAATACTACACGTATTTACTTATAAAGTAATACTGTATAAGTATTAAGATTATTAAAATAATTTTTTAAATTTAAATACAATAAACTTGTAAGAGTTCTTTTTCGAAACTAAATTATTTTGATCGTTTTTTTTATTCGACTGTTTTTTTTTTTATACCTGCTAATATGAATAATAATGAATAATAATAATAAACAACGAAATGTTTGCTTCTAAGTGAAGTTACTGATTATTTTTGCACTGTGAATATAACCGTTTTTTCAAAGCTAGAAATGACATTTACAGTGATTTTGTATGTTCTCAAAAAGTATTTTAAACTGTATAAATAAGTTACCTGGCCAATTAATTTATATCAGCCAATTATATGAAACTCTTCCTATAGAATGATGAAAATTAACCGAATGGTTATTCTGCTGATTCGATAAATTTTTGATTTCGGCATTATCAAATGTAACGTTTATTATTTACAATGATAGTCTAAAGCCTGGTACGTACGGTAAATTAAAACTCACGTGAAACTACAAGATCTCTACTTTCACGTCCTAACTAAAGTTCCATTTCTAATTGTAACTCATACAAATATCAGCTAGACTTTCTTTCCATTAAGTCTTTAAGATATTTTATATCATTCAGGGTTTAATAGATGTGATTTTTCTTACAAGTGGCGAAAGTCTTTCAACGCATCCATTTCTTTGAAATACACGTCCGTGACCTGTGACAGGTTAAGCCATTGATTTCAATCACCGCCTTAAATGATGAAAAACTAATGTATTTAGTAATTTGAAAAGGCTTATCATTACGAAGTTAAAGTTGAATATATAAAAACGATTTGATCGTATTTGATTATTCTTTACTTTTTTTCGATTTTATAAATTAAATTTTTTTTTATCTAACATGAGTTAAATGCGCAAATAAAAGTTTAAATAACCTATCGACTTCTAATAAGGCTTACTGTAAAAGAGAACTAATTTTTTAATAAAATGCAGGTTACACGAATTTTGATATATTTTTTTAAAAAAAAACTTATAAAACGGAATTAAGAAAATGGATGAGAACAATATTTCCGACATCACTTTATTTTAAGTTATTAATGTAAACTGCCAAAAATATTAGGCCAACATTACGATCCATGTTAGATAAATTCAAATATCAGTGTAATATAACAAAAATAAAATCTCCCGAATATTTGCCTTTATGGAAGAAAGAAAAATTCAGCTCTTTGAGTTAGTTATCTTTATTCGAGAGAAATAAAAAAAGTATCTTTTAGGAAAGAATGTGTTGAACAATAGCACGGTTAAAGAAACGACATATTGTTTGCTTTGCTTAAAGTGATCATAATATACTAGTGAATTATTTGTGTGGTATTAGTTATTTTAATTTTAAAAGGTTTTTATTTTTATAAATATTTGTTAAGTTAATATCAAAAACAACTTTTGAATTTATAAGATTTTTTTTTTTTAATAGTTTATGACAGTCAAGTCTTACTCTAGAAATATAATTAGACGGTGATTGAAATTAGTGGCATAACCTGTCACAGATTACGGACGTGACTTTGAAATTAGGGATTTCAAAGTTAACAAATGAGTGGCGCATTTTGAAATTAAATGAGAGTTTGAAAAATCTTACATAATTGTATTTCAAAATTTTAAAATCGGAAAATGAAAATGAAGTTCCCCATTTAACGAAATAAAAGACTCTTTAACGACAAAAGAAATGAAATAAAGTTGATATACCGCTCATTTATAAATAAATACGTCATCTATTTCTGTAAAATTAGATTCCCGCACGTTTAATTTTGAAACCTCCTATTGGTTGAAAACTTGACTTATTGAAGATCACTAACATCTAAGTGTTTAGCAGTTGTTCGAATTTATAACCCTTCTAAATTTTTTTTCGATTGAATATGCTTCTAAAGTATAATACTTAACTAAAGTTATATCGATATTGATTATCTGGTCATTATCGATTAATAATTGTCATAGCACCATAAATAGAGGTCATTTAAAACCTTACAAATCGGGTTTTAGACTATCTTTGTAAATAATAACCGTTACATTATTCATGCCAAAATCAATAACTTATCGAATTGGCAGAATAATCACTTTGTTAATTTTTCACAACGCATCCCAAGAATAATGATAACATTCATAATTGGTTAACATAAATATTTTGAGTTCAGGCAGGGGAACTTAAATAATGCATGTACAGAATTTTTTTTTTTTTTTGAATATCCCTGTTGTCTTAATAACTAGGGGTGCAGGTGGCACTCTTTTATTAAAAGTATTATTTGTGACTTAGTTACTTTTCAAATATTTACATATTA